GTGTGTGTATGTGTGTGGTGTGTGTATGTGGTGTTACTCTGTGTGTGTGTGTGTCTGTGGTGTGTGTATGTGGTGTTACTCTGTGTGTGTGTGTGTCTGTGGTGTGTGTATGTGTGTGGTGTGTGTATATGCATGTGTGTGTCCTGTTTATCACTGACATTTTAAACTAATTTTCAGTTTTCTGTTGAAGTAGAAAATGGTCCAAAGCTGAAATTAAAAGTCACAGATTTAGTTTTTCTTCACGTCACTGACGTCAGATGCAACGACGACGTGCACACTGCAAAAAATGATCAAATATCAGGTCAAAATGGCTTGAATCTAGTGTTTTTTTAATCTTATTTTCAGTCCAATCCACTTTATTGAGTTTAAGTTTCAATTTAAATCTGCAGGTTTGTCTTATGTTTACAAAAAAAATGTAAATGAATAAATAAAAATTGAAAATATTAACTGATAACTAGAAATAAAACATGGAAAATGTAACAATACAATAAAAACAATAAATTACAAGTTAACAATAACAATGTGATAAAAACAGTAAAATTCTAGTTTTCTGATTTAAAACTAAAAACAATAAACAAATAAAAACAGGACCAGACTTTGAGCTCGTTCCGACTTTTCCAGAAGAAGTTTTAGAAGTTTTTTTGATTATTTTCTCCGAGACAAACTGAAAAAATAATAATAAATTGAAACTTTATTGTCGTCACAAAATCCGAACAAAGGAACTGAATGTAGCCTCTGACCCGAACACGTCACACTCAGGCCCGGGGGCCAAATCCGGCCTGAGACCATTCCTAGAGGCCCCTGAAATGATTTGAAAATATCATGATTACAGTAACTGAAAGCATTGGCGGTAATCTGCTGCTATGGCATGTTATACTTCATTTTAAAACCTAATGTCTCGCGGAAACTACCATAAAATTAAATGTGTTCAAAAATGTGATTAGAATTGAAACTATTTTCTTTTTCACAAAATGTTGCCACTGGTTCTGTTGAATCCACATCTACTAGAAAATAATATTCAAACTCACAAAACTATGTAAACAAAAATCTGATTATTGCTGTTATCAATAATAATGTTAACGATAATGATAATGAGAATAATGAAAAACCTGCTCTTGTGTTTTTAAGCTTTGCCCGAAACAGAATGAGTTTGTAGCTCGGTGTAGGGTCATATTCACGACATCTGTGTGAGACTGAACACGCTGCTGTTGCTCGTTTATACATTCATTATAGTAAGTAAGTAATATTTATTTATATAGCACCTTTCACAGACCAGAGTCTCAAAGCGGTTTACAATTGTTATTTTTTGGCATTTATCTCTCACTCCACACAGAGATGGGAGCAGGGTCGCCGAACAGGAGGCACATGCCAGAACTATTGGACATATTTTTAGTGGTAGGGGAAACCGGAGTACCCGGAGGAAACCTACGCAGACACGGGGAGAACATGCAAACGTAGAACTTGTCATATATTTGAAGCCCACTCAGAAAGGCCCTGGTCCCTGAGAGCCCAAAACAAAACACTAGATTTTCCAAACGGGATTCAGGTTTTAAAAAGAACCCAGGACCTTCTTGCTGAGTAGGGTTAGATTTTGAAAGTATATATTTAAAAAACAACAAAACTACCCTTTTGTCTAAACGAACACAAATAACAGAAACCCGAGAGAGCGACATGTGACACATGTAGGAACCAGGAATTGAGTCCCCGTCTCCAGAGCAAGCGTCGGACAACAAAGGGCTTTTTTGTGGATTAAAGAATGCAGATTATTCCCTCATTTCCCAGTCCAGAGGCAGGAAACAACCAACAACAAGAATTTTCTGATCAATGAAAGCGTCCTGTGTTTTAATAAATCCATGAAGTCTGTGTCGGCATCAAACAGATGCAGAGTGTTGTGTGTTTGTGGACGGTCCTTCAAACACATAAAGAATCTATTAAAACAAACAAGAAACAAGATTATATTAGGAGGAACCAAGCCCGGTGATCCCCAAAATAAAACATGGCGCCCCCAGTTCAAATGATGGCTTGTGTTCATAATTCAACTTCACGGGACCCCCGGACAAGATTAGAGGAAACATCGATGCCATGATTTTGGGGCATATCGTCTGGTCCTAGCTCCCGGTTCTGCGCATGGACGAGTTTCCCATGATGCATTGCGCCATAATGTGCGTAGTGTGGCTCTCATAGCCACCCTGCACAGAGAGGCTATGTCGGCAGCGCTTTGACCAATCCAGAGCTGCTGCTGAGAGCGGGGAAGTTAGAGTGTAAAACGGGTCACGCAAGTTTGGTGGTGGCACTAAAGTGTGATTTAAAGAAAAACCAAAGGATTAAGAAGAAAAAACGTTCAGGACGAGGACAAGGGACAATACAAGCAAATAAGAACTAAAATCCTCCACTAAATCGTGACCTTATCTGAAAGCTGTTAGGTTCCTGACATGTTCTCTGTCCGTTCACTGTCAGCTTCTGAGGTCGGCTGTTTTTAGTTTAAACATTGAGTTCTATGGGGGCATTTTTTTTTTTTTTTCTGGTAAGAGAGAAGGTCCCACATGGGGAAATTTCAGGTTTGATTGCATACACCACATATACACAGCAGACACACAACATATTCATACACATACACACAAAAGGCGAAGCAGTGAAAGCAGAGAACATTACTTCCTTCCAACTACATTACTGCTTTTCCTCCCCATAAATTCCTTTCCTTCCTTGTCGCTCCTTCATCCCAAGGCAAAGTGTTAACGTGTCTTTTTGGTCTATACCTTTGTCCCTTGTGCCCAAGCAGAGGACACAACAAACGGACAAAGGAGCAGATTCGGAAGAAGTCGATGGCGAAGGTCTCGGAGTGTTGGGTGGGGGTGGGGGCTTCGAACCATAACAATTTTCAGGTTCCAACCAGCATTCCAAACCCCAGGCCTCACTACCAGGCTCTCTACTAACAAAATAAACACCAACTGAGCTAATAACTGGTCGCCACCGACTGTCGCCCCACGTGAATTCAGTCTGTGCAGTAACCCGCCAACAGCGCCCTCTCATCACAACTACACAGCGCCCCCTGTGGCCGTTTTTTGGGTGGGACAGCTATAATCAAGTAATATCTATCAGTTGTTATCATAGATCCATGGAGGCACTAACACAACAATGGCACAGAACAGGACTCGGGGTTTAAGTTTAGTTTAATCCTGTGTGTGGTGTTGAAGCAGTCGAGTCTTAAGAAGGAATTTAATATAATGCCTTTTCTGTCAAAGCGACGTCCTCTGGGAGTTCTGGAAGTTCCGGTGTTAAAACAATCTGATTGCAGTTTTTACAGAATGAATGAAAGAATACAATGTTTGGTAATGTTCCAGTCCTGCGAGGGAGAGGCCTTTCTTATCTCTCATTTTAAAGTGGTTCTCACCACCCCCCGCTCCTCGTAGCTTACGCGTCACTAAGCCAAAATCCGTCCACATTGTCCTGGTTTCAACACTTCCTCTAAATGGGCGTAGCTCTTGGGACTGAAGGAAGGGGGGGCGAGAAAACAAGACTGGCCGTTATATAATGCTCTGGGCGGGGGGGGGGGGGCGTGCTGACGTCAGGAGACCAACTTGCCAGACGTCAGGTCCAACTTCCGTGCCAGTGTTGGCGCCATAATTTCCAAAATTAAATTGACATACCGTTGCCAGCAAGAAGGCAGCCTCAAGAAGGTTTTTTAAAAGGGCCAGAAAGTTTAACTTTCAACCTAATTTGCAACCAAAGTGAAAAAACTATGACCTGGATAGTAGAACAACACTATTGGACAACGTCATTTAAAAACCGATTATTCAGAGTCCTTTAAATTATAAAAACTTTAGCAACCATAGAAGACAAAACAGGGAGAGAGTAGTTGTTCAGCATCAGCAAGGTCACCAAAGTCAGGTCTTGGTTTATTGGGGGCTAGGGCCTTCCATTTAAAACTGATGACAATGTTGAGTTTACCAAGATGAAAAAACACATGTTACTTTGACAACAGGCCAAACAATAAATACACAGGGAAAGGAAAACAAACCACACGTACTTTGTGAATGCTGCCATATTCTATCTGCTAAAGAGAAAGGTTTTCTGTGTTTGAACCTCTGTAACTAATAGGTATTAAAATAGATAAAACAATGAATACATGATAGGTTATTATTAATTATTATTATTCACGTTAATTGATTGTTGTTTATTATTAATTATTAAGTATTAATTGAGCGTGTATTTGTTGGCTATGGATGGATGTGGATAGATGGAATGGAAGAGTGGATGATCGATAGATGGCATCATGCTTGGACTCCCTCATTGCAGCCAGGCATGTCATGGACCCACTCATTCATTCAGCTATTCAATCATTTAACTCACCTCAGTCAAGGCATTGGATTCATTTACTCAGTCATTTCATTCATTCATTTACTCAACTCATCTCATTCCACTATCTCAGTGCAATCATTCTATGCATTTTACTCACTCATTCATTCATTTATTCATTCATTTACTCACTCATTCATTTACTCATTTATTCAGTTACTCACGCCACTCCTTCATTTATGTCCATTTACTCATTCATGTATTACATTACTCACTCATTCATTCATTCATTTATTCATTCATTTACTCACGCAGGGTCATTTACTCATTTATTCTATGTACTCACCACTCCGCAGTTTATTCATGTACGCATGCCATTCATTGCATTTACTCATTCATTCATTCATGTATTCCATTTAGCTAACTCATTGATTCCCATTTATCCATCATGCATTTACTCACTCACTCCCTCATTTATTGCATTGCTCACTCCTCATTTATTCATTACTCACTCATTCATCAGTCATACCTTTACGCATTTATTCCATTTACTCACCACTAACGCACGCATTCAGTCCAATACCTCACAAAGAGTACTGAAATCCCGAACAACCCCTTTACCCATACCCTACCGGATACAGCTATGTGACCCGCCCTCACCCGAATGCAGCCATATGTGAAGAAGAAAGAGTAGCCGCTGGCGCATGCGCCATCCGCGCCGCGAGCCCTTTATCTACACTCAACAACAAGCCAAGTCAGACACAGTCCAGTACCATGACCGTCCAGTATCAACATAATACAGACAGACATAGCCTCTATGATGGATGGAACAGATAACTCAACGTGCAATACGCGAACCGAGAATGATTTTGATCATCGCAACAATAACACCTCCCTAACCTATCTAACATCCAACCAACCTACCTCATTAACCTACCCCCCTACCTATCAATCAATCAACCTACCTATATCCACGCCATCAACCTGTCTGGTCTCTCTCTGGTCTCTCTCTCTGGTCTCTCTCTCTGGTCTCTCTCTGGTCTCTCTCTCTGGTCTCTCTCTGGTCTCTCTCTGGTCTCTCTCTCTGGTCTCTCTCTCTGGTTGATGGTCTCTCTTTCTGGTCTCTCTCTGGTCTTTCTTTGGTCTCTCTCTGGTCTCTCTCTGGTCTCTCTCTCTGTTCTCTCTCTGTTCTCTCTCTCTGGTCTCTCTCTGGTCTCTCTCTCTGGTCTCTCTCTGGTCTCTCTCTGGTCTCTCTCTGGTCTCTCTGGTCTCTCTCTGGTCTCTCTCTGTCTCTCTGGTCTCTCTCTGGTCTTTCTCTGGTCTTTCTCTGGTCTCTCTCTGGTCTCTCTCTGGTCTCTCTCTGGTCTCGCTCTCGTTGGTCTCTCTCTCTCTGGTCTCTCTCTGGTCCCTCCCCCTCTGCTTTCCCTCTCTCTCTCCCTCTCTTTCTCTCGTTGGTCTCTCTCTAGCCTCTCTCTCTCTCTCTTTGGTCTCTCTCTGGTCTCTCTGGTCTCTCTCTCTCTGGTCTCTTTCTCTCTGGTCTCTCTCTCTCTGGTCTCTCTCTCTCTCTCTGGTCTCTCTCTCTCTGGTCTCTCTCTCTCTCTGGTCTCTCTCTCTATCTGGTCTCTCTCTCTCTGGTCTCTCTCTCTCTCTGGTCTCTCTCTCTATCTGGTCTCTCTCTCTGGTCTCTCTCTCTGGTCTCTCTCTCTCTCTGGTCTCTCTCTCTATCTGGTCTCTCTCTCTCTCTCTCTGGTCTCTCTCTCTATCTGGTCTCTCTCTATCTGGTCTCTCTCTCTCTCTGGTCTCTCTCTCTCTCTGGTCTCTCTCTCTCTGGTCTCTCTCTCTCTGGTCTCTCTCCCTCTGGTCTCTCTCTCTCTGGTCTCTCTCTATCTGGTCTCTCTCTCTCTGGTCTCTCTCTCTCTCTGGTCTCTCTCTCTCTGGTCTCTCTCTCTCTGGTCGCTCTCTCTCTGGTCTCTCTCTCTCTGGTCTCTCTCTCTCTGGTCTCTCTCTATCTGCTCTCTCTCTCTCTGGTCTCTCTCTCTCTGGTCTCTCTCTCTCTCTCTGGTCTCTCTCTCTCTGGTCTCTCTCTCTCTGGTCTCTCTCTCTCTGGTCTCTCTCTCTGGTCTCTCTCTCTCTCTGGTCTCTCTCTCTCTGGTCTCTCTCTGGTCTCTCTCTCTCTCTCTCTCTCTCTCTCTCTCTCTCTCTTGTCTCTCTCTCTCTGGTCTCTCTCTCTCTGGTCTCTCTCTCTCTGGTCTCTCTCTCTCTGGTCTCTCTCTCTCTGGTCTCTCTCTCTCTGGTCTCTCTCTCTCTGGTCTCTCTCTCTCTCTGGTCTCTCTCTCTCTGGTCTCTCTCTCTCTCTGGTCTCTCTCTCTCTCTGGTCTCTCTCTCTCTCTGGTCTCTCTCTCTCTGGTCTCTCTCTCTCTCTGGTCTCTCTCTCTCTGGTCTCTCTCTCTCTGGTCTCTCTCTCTCTCTGGTCTCTCTCTCTCTGGTCTCTCTCTCTCTCTGGTCTCTCTCTCTGGTCTCTCTCTCTCTGGTCTCTCTCTCTTTGGTCTCTCTCTGGTCTCTCTCTCTCTCTGGTCTCTCTCTCTCTGGTCTCTCTCTCTCTCTGGTCTCTCTCTCTCTGGTCTCTCTCTCTCTGGTCTCTCTCTCTCTCTGGTCTCTCTCTCTCTGGTCTCTCTCTCTCTGGTCTCTCTCTCTCTCTGGTCTCTCTCTCTGGTCTCTCTCTCTGGTCTCTCTCTCTCTCTGGTCTCTCTCTCTCTGGTCTCTCTCTCTCTGTTGAACACATGTCTCTTTGACTCTCTCGTTTTCAGGAGGTGCGTGTCATCTCTCAGCTGCAGTTTCTCTCGTGGCCGGATCATGACGTTCCGCACGAGGCCTCGCTGGTCTTGGACCTGCTGCACCGAGTCCAAGACCTTCAGCAGTCCAGTCCAGACCTGGTTCCAAGAGTCCAGAAACCTCAAAACCACAACATAAAACTAGTCCACTGCAGGTGACACCAGTCTGATGCTCACCCTACAGTAGGGTGTCAAAGTCCAGGCCCGGGGGCTGCATCCGGCCCTGGAATGATTAACCTTGGCCCCGGGAGGATATTTGTTAGAACCAGCCTTTTAATGATCTGTCATCATTTTAGGGCCCAAAAGCTGTATATCATTTTAAAGCTTAATTTCTTATCTACATTTATATACAAGTGTAAACTACATCAGACTTTGCATTCAAAAGATATAACACATAATGTGGGCACAAAATAAGTCACTAAGGGAAAAGTTTTTTACCTTTGGGCTTGTGCTGCATAAATAAATCAGCTCTCCTCTCGGCTTCCTATGGCTCTTTCACTCTGGAACAGTCCATTTAAAAATAATATCCACTTGTATTTCCCAAAGTATAATCCATTCTGGAGAAATAATCCAAAAATGTGCCTTTATCTTTAGCGAAAAAAACGAAAAAAAAGAGCACATAGGCTGTTCTTTCACTGTTTACGGACTTTTAGCTTTATTTGTCACCCAAACATCTGGTATCCACGTGTTCAGCTACTCCTTATCTTTCAAATGACACCTTCCATGAAGCTCTACGAGTTATTTTGGGTCTGCAAAATCTTCCGTGAGTTGGACAAGCGGCTGCGTTTTGTTGTCATTTGTTGTCATTAGGCTGATTTGCATCTACTTCCTGGCCGCAAGATTGACATGTCCGTGTAGCCAATGAGGAAAGCTTTCTATTAAGGGGTGGGACATCTGTGTGCTGGGTTGGGTTGTCTCAGTAGAAGGCTGCGTAATCATAGACATATAAAGAGATATACATTTTTACAGACTGCTGCTTTAAAATCAAATGTGGTCCACTGTTAGGTCTTGGTTCTGTAGTTTTTATGCATCATTTAAATATGTTTTAATTAACTTTGAACCAGTCGGGGCCTCGGCTTGTAGCAAATGTGTTTTTTTTTTAACCTCTGATGTGTTTGACTTTGACGTCCCTGGACTTTAGCGTTTATTTTATCCCACATGAGGATCTAATTTGGGGTCAGACCCTGGTACTGTGGGAGGTGCAGCAGACAGACGGGTGACAGAAGGAGGTGAATATGGATCAGTTCTCGCTGTTTGCAGAACAGTCACATCTGCTCCGTCTCAAACATTTCCACATTTACATATTTACATGTTTTAAGGACATCATGATCTCTGCTTCTGCCATCACATGTTTTCTATGTGAAAGCCAAATACAATGAATTAACCGAAAAGTTAAAGCAGCAGTTTGTAAAAATGTGTCCAAAAGTGGTACTGCAGCCTCTCCCACTCTCCCTGACTCAGGTTGCCAGATATGCAGACGAATCCAGCTGGGACCATAACAGCTGAATAGACAAGAGTTTTGTCAACAACAAATCTATAACCAACACCTTTTTCACAAAGATAGAAATCCAGGTTTTATTCCTTGTTTTGTCGTTAATGATTTGAGAATCATAACGAGACCTTTTTTAGTTCTGCGCCACATGGTACTTTACCAGTGAGATTAGCTCCACGCGGTGAGTTCTGGCGCCCGGATCACAGACTTTCTGATTGGTGAAACGGTGGAGGGCGGGACATCGAAATGAAAACAATAACAAGATTTAGAGGCTGGAAAAGTAATTTAGAAATTCAAATATCTCTGAACTACTGTTATCAGTTAAAGAAGTGTTGGAAAAGAGCAGTTTATTATTATGACAGATTAGGGCCCTTTAATGATGACAGATTAGGGCCCTTTAATGATGACAGATTAGGGCCCTTTAATGATGACAGATTAGGGCCCTTTAATGACGACAGATTAGGGCCCTTTAATGATGACAGATTAGGGCCCTTTAATGACGACAGATTATGGCCCTTTAATGATGACAGATTAGGGCCCTTTAATGATGACAGATTAGGGCCCTTTAATTATGACAGATTAGGGCCCTTTAATGACGACAGATTAGGGCCCTTTAATGATGACAGTTTAGGGCCCTTTAATGATGACAGATTATGGCCCTTTAATGGCGACAGATTAGGGCCCTTTAATGACGACAGATTATGGCCCTTTAATGACGACAGATTAGGGCCCTTTAATGACGACAGATTATGGCCCTTTAATGACGACAGATTATGGCCCTTTAATGACGACAGATTATGACCCTTTAATGATCGACATAAAAATCGTACACATTTCTTTAATTCCACTTTAACATTTCCTGTGAGCGCTGGGGTTAATTTCATGGTTTTCTCTTGTTTGAATATTATTATTATTATTATTATTATATTTTTGTGTGTGTGTTTTAGTGCCGGCTGTGGAAGAACCGGGGTTATTTGTGCCCTGGACCAGATCTACCAACTGCTGGTGCACCAGGTGAGAGGCGTCACTCTGAGTCCGCAGCAAACTGTCTCAAAACCTCTTCTCTGTGTTTGTCGTTTGCAGAAGTTACCGTCAGACTTCAGCATCATGAGGATCGTGACGGAGCTGAGAGGACAGAGACCCAGCGCGGTGCAGACCAAGGTGAGAAAAACATCCAGGTTTTTGAAAATCAGCGTTTTTTTTTATTTTTTATTCAACACTTTTTAACAGTTTTATGGTTTTAATATTTTGTTTTTTACATTTACACAACATTGCTTCTCTTATTTTACACATTATTTTCCCTTCTCCTTGTGTGTCCCTTGTGCACCAAAATAACCCAAAGTAAAATTAAAAAATATACATAAATAGAAATACAAATTTGGCCTATGTTGCCAGATAGTCGGGGGAAATGGTGGCGGAGTTTCAGCCTCTTTTTGAATACCATGTGGCTAGTTTACAGGCAAGATATAAGTAAGTTAGTAAGTAAAGTTTTATTTATATAGCAGGTTTTTTACAGACTGTAGACCCAGGACTGAGGCTGTAGACCCAGGACTGAGGCTGTAGACCCAGGACTGAGGCTGTAGACCCAGGACTGAGGCTGTAGATCCAGGACTGAGGCTGTAGATCCAGGACTGAGGCTGTAGACCCAGGACTGAGACTGTAGACCCAGGACTGAGGCTGTAGACCCAAGACTGAGGCTGTAGACCCAGGACTGAGGCTGTAGACCCAGGACTGAGACTGTAGACCCAGGACTGAGGCTGTAGACCCAAGACTGAGGCTGTAGATCCAGGACTGAGACTGTAGATCCAGGACTGAGGCTGTAGATCCAGAACTGAGGCTGTAGACCCAGGACTGAGGCTGTAGACCCAGGTCTGAGGCTGTAGACCCGGGACTGATGCTGTAGATCCAGGACTGAGGCTGTAGACCCAGGACTGAGGCTGTAGATCCAGGACTGAGGCTGTAGATCCAGGACTGAGGCTGTAGACCCAGGACTGAGGCTGTAGATCCAGGACTGAGGCTGTAGACCCAGGACTGAGGCTGTAGACCCAGGACTGAGGCTGTAGACCCAGGACTGAGGCTGTAGATCCAGGACTGAGGCTGTAGATCCAGGACTGAGGCTGTAGATCCAGGACTGAGGCTGTAGATCCAGGACTGAGGCTGTAGACCCAGGACTGAGGCTGTAAATCCAGGACTGAGGCTATAGACCCAGGACTGAGGCTGTAGACCCAGGACTGAGGCTGTAGATCCAGGACTGAGGCTGTAGACCCAGGACTGAGGCTGTAGATCCAGGACTGAGGCTGTAGACCCAGGACTGAGGCTGTAGACCCAGGACTGAGGCTGTAGATCCAGGACTGAGGCTGTAGATCCAGGACTGAGGCCGTAGACCCAGGACTGAGGCTGTAGACCCAGGACTGAGACTGTAAACCCAGGACTGAGGCTGTAGACCCAAGACTGAGGCTGTAGATCCAGGACTGAGGCAGATCCAGGACTGAGGCTGTAGACCCAGGACTGAGGCTGTAGACCCAGGACTCAGCAGGGGTCAGGCCGGTCCACATGGGGAAGATGGAGGGGGCCGGGTTCAGGGCTCCCGTCATCGATCCATAGCAGATCTTAAAGGTGCAGTAAAGGATTCAGGTTAGCTTAGCATTAGCATCCGAGCAACTTTTCCAAAACATCTTTTCTCCTGTATTTATTTGTAACTTTCTGACTAGAATATTTTAACCACAGTTAAAAACTTGACACCCGTGACTGTAACTTATAGAGTAAATACCAATATCTGACAAGGGCCTTCAAACATACTGATACTGACACTGACACTGACACTGACACTGATACTGACACTGATACTGACACTGACACTGACACTGACACTGACACTGACACTGACACTGACACTGACACTGACTCTGACACTGACACTGACACTGACACTGACACTGACACTGACACTGACTCTGACACTGACACTGACACTGACACTGACACTGACTCTGACACTGACACTGACACTGACACTGACTCTGACACTGACACTGACACTGACACTGACTCTGACTCTGACACTGACACTGACACTGACACTGACTCTGACTCTGACACTGACACTGACACTGACTCTGACACTGACACTGACACTGACACTGACTCTGACACTGACACTGACCCTGACCCTGACCCTGACCCTGACACTGACACTGACACTGACACTGACACTGACCCTGACCCTGACCCTGACACTGACTCTGACTCTGACCCTGACACTGACACTGACACTGACTCTGACTCTGACACTGACACTGACTCTGACACTGACTCTGACACTGACTCTGACACTGACTCTGACTCTGACTCTGACCCTGACACTGACACTGACACTGACTCTGACTCTGACACTGACACTGACTCTGACACTGACTCTGACACTGACACTGACTCTGACTCTGACACTGACACTGACACTGACACTGACACTGACTCTGACACTGACACTGACACTGACACTGACACTGACACTGACTCTGACACTGACACTGACACTGACACTGACACTGATACTATTTTTTTTTCAGGAACAATACCGCTTCATCTACACGGCTACTTCCTGTTTGTTGAGATGGTTCCTGCAGAAGAACAGCTCCACTTCAGTTTACTGCAACCTGCCCGAGGTAAAAACAGAATATGTAAACAGAGAATGTTTTGTTTTCCTTTGCACATTTACTTTATTTTGTCTAATTATAATTTTTTCTAGCCCTGAGATGACATTTAAACACAGCGTAAGATGATGGAGTGATTTCAGATTGATAGTTTGTTTATTTTCTGTCATTAGTTCCTGATATTCAAAATGGTTCTGACCTTTTGGATTTACATTTCTATCGTCACAAAAAGGTCATAACACTAATTTGAATACTTACTGGTCAATGGTGAGAACCTCAAAGGGTGTGGACCTGAGTTTCTTTGTTTAAATAGTATGTTTTTGTGTAGCCTAGCATTAGCATCGGTAAACTCTGGTCCATGATCATCTCCTACATGTACGTCTGGTCTTACCATGTGTAAACTCTGGTCCATGATCATTTCCTACATGTACGTCTGGTCTTACCATGTGTAAACTCTGGTCCATGGTCATTTGCTACATGTACGTCTGGTCTTACCATGTGTAAACTCTGGTCCATGGTCATTTCCTACATGTACGTCTGGTCTTACCATGTGTAACCTCTGGTCCATGGTCATTTCCTACATGTACGTCTGGTCTTACCATGTGTAAACTCTGGTCCATGGTCATTTCCTACATGTACGTCTGGTCTTACCATGTGTAAACTCTGGTCCATGGTCATTTCCTACATGTACGTCTGGTCTTACCATGTGTAAACTCTGGTCCATGGTCATTTCCTACATGTACGTGTGGTCTTACCATGTGTAAACTCTGGTCCATGGTCATTTCCTACATGTACGTCTGGGTCTGATCCTAGTGGCTGCAGTTTCCTCGGTTGAATCTCCTCCGACCAATCAGAGAGCGGGGGAGGCGGGTGTTGTAGGTCGGTGTCGGTGACGTCAAGAGTTTGTGCTGAATTTGCTGGTTGTAGTTTGTCGGAGAATGCGATAGTAAAATAATCTGTTCTGGTTCAATCCAAATATCAAGAAACTGAAGCCGGAGCAAGAGGAATGTTTAGTAAATGTCACTGAAGCAAAGATGTTGTGGCTCTACTCCCCACGGGCTCCGATAGTGACAAAGGAGATGCTAAAGCTAGGCTAAATGCTAAAGCTAGTCTACATGCTAAATGCCTCACTCACTCGGGCTCATTACATACGTCACAGTAAACTATTTATTATGAAATATTTACACAAAGATTTTATAAGTGACGACTTTTAAACTGTATTTAATGTTGACAAAGTTTACAGTTCAGTTGGACCTCTGTGAACGATTCATCCATTCTGTCGGGCGGCTGTTTTTGGTGTCACCGAAAAAAGCCGCACCTTACTATAAGCCCCATCTTACTATAAGTCACACCTTACTATAAGTCGCACCTTACTATAAGCCCCATCTTACTATAAGCCCCATCTTACTTTAAGCCCCATCTTACTATAAGCCCCATCTTACTATAAGCCCCATCTTACTATAAGCCCCATCTTACTTTAAGCCCCATCTTACTATAAGCCCCATCTTACTATAAGCCCCATCTTACTATAAGCCCCATCTTACTATAAGCCCCATCTTACTTTAAGCCCCATCTTACTTTAAGCCCCATCTTACTATAAGCCCCATCTTACTATAAGCCCCATCTTACTTTAAGCCCCATCTTACTATAAGCCCCATCTTACTATAAGCCCCATCTTACTATAAGTCACACCTTACTATAAGTCACACCTTACTATAAGCCCCATCTTACTATAAGCCCCATCTTACTATAAGCCCCATCTTACTATAAGCCCCATCTTACTATAAGCCCCATCTTACTATAAGCCCCATCTTACTATAAGTCACACCTTACTATAAGCCCCATCTTACTATAAGCCCCATCTTACTATAAGTCACACCTTACTATAAGCCCCATCTTACTATAAGTCACACCTTACTATAAGCCCCATCTTACTATAAGTCACACCTTACTATAAGCCCCATCTTACTATAAGTCACACCTTACTATAAGTCACACCTTACTATAAGTCACACCTTACTATAAGTCACACCTTACTATAAGCCCCATCTTACTATAAGCCCCATCTTACTATAAGTCACACCTTACTATAAGTCGCACCTCACTATAAGTCGCACCTCACTATAAGTCACACCTTACTATAAGTCGCACCTTACTATAAGTCACACCTTACTATAAGTCACACCTTACTATAAGACACACCTTACTATAAGGCGCACCTTACTATAAGTCACACCTTACTATAAGTCGCACCTTACTATAAGTCACACCTTACTATAAGTCACACCTTACTATAAGGCGCACCTTACTATAAGTCACACCTTACTATAAGTCACACCTTACTATAAGTCGCACCTTACTATAAGCCCCATCTTACTATAAGTCACACCTTACTATAAGTCGCACCTCACTATAAGTCACACCTCACTATAAGTCACACCTTACTATGAGTCACACCTTACTATAAGCCCCATCTTACTATAAGTCACACCTTACTATAAGCCGCACCTGGCTGTAAGCCGCACCTGACTATAAACCGCACTTTACCATAAGTCACACCTTACTATAAGTCGCACCTCACTATAAGTCACACCTTACTATAAGTCGCACCTCACTATAAGTCACACCTTACTATAAGTCGCACCTCACTATAAGTCACACCTTACTATAAGTCACACCTTACTATAAGTCACACCTTACTATAAGCCGCACCTGGCTGTAAGTCACACCTTACTATAAGTCGCACCTCACTATAAGTCACACCTTACTATAAGTTGCACCTCACTATAAGTCACACCTTACTATAAGTCACACCTTACTATAAGCCGCACCTGGCTGTAAGCCGCACCTGACTATAAACCGCACTTTACCATAAGTCGCACCTCACTATAAGTCGCGCCCGACATTAAGTCACACCTTACTATAAGTCGCACCTGACTATAAGTCGCACCTGATTATAAGCCGCGGCCTTCAAAATGCTGGAAAAAAGACGTGGTTTAGAGTTTGGAATTTACTTTTTATAATGTACTAATTTATTTATAATCTACATCAGAATTGGATTAATATAAAATGCAGGGAGAAGCCATGTCGCTGTATAATATTATATACTTTATTTGTTTAGAGGTTCAGGCCTGAAGGGTGTGAACCTGCGACAGCGTCAAACCAAACTTTTGAGGGTTTCTCTGCTGCAGTCGGACTCACGGCTGATTTTAAACTGTGACTAAAAGAAAGTGAGAGGAAGCTCAAAGAGAAGTCGCACTTCCTGTTTCACCGAGGACTCAACCAAGACCACAACCCGACCAGGACTAAACAAAAACCAGTCTAGACCTGACTCAGAACTGAACCATGACTAAACCACAGTAAAACAATAAAGGTGAGTATTTTTATTTTCATTCAGCAAATTGGGATTGAATTTCAGCTTCAACATTTTCTATTTCATCCAAGAATTATCTAATGGTTTCTTCTGTGTGTTTACTTGAATCTGGATCAGCAGTGACAGTATCGTAGAGCAGACTTGGCACGTTTAGGTCCACACCCAGACACTGTGGCAAAATAGTCATTAGTTTGATGATACTCGGTCCTGAGCTGCAGCTGTGGCTCAGGTTCTGGTGCTGATCCGGTTTTTGAAAGTTTTATATTCTTGTTGTTTGTTATTCAGGTGAAGAAGCCACAGAGGAAAACTTGTGACTCGGCAGCAGTATCTGACAGGTGTGTAGAGGATACAGTTGACTCAGTAGTTTTCTAACGGCCATAGACTGTCTTTGGGGCATAGACTGTAAATATAAACAGAAGTAGTGACGCCTATGTCCAACGCTGAAACTAATGTGACATCACTTCTGCCTTCTGTGGCTTTATCAAAATGGCCGCAGGGCAGGAACCTGTGAGAAACACACATTTGAGCATGAGTTAGCGACACTAGCCTCATTCATTCAAAAGTCAGCAGCGGCTAAACTGGACTAGTCTCCCACTTTTGGACCAAGAACCACTTTTGGACCAAGAACCACTTTTGGGATCAAGAGTCACTTCTGGACCAAGAACCACTTCTGGAGCAAGAACCACTTTTGGACCAAGAGCCACTTTTGGACCAAGAACCACTTTTGGACCGAGAGCCACTTTTGGATCAAGAGCCACTTCTGGATCAAGAGCCACTTTTGGACCAAGAACCACTTCTGGACCAAGAGCCACTTTTGGACCAAGAACCACTTTTGGACCAAGAGCCACTTTTGGACCAAGAACCACTTTTGGACCGAGAGCCACTTTTGGATCAAGAGCCACTTCTGGACCAAGAGCCACTTTTGGACCAAGAATCACTTCTGGATCAAGAGCCACTTTTGGACCAAGAACCACTTTTGGACCAAGAGCCACTTTTGGACCAAGAACCACTTTTGGACCGAGAGCCACTTTTGGATCAAGAGCCACTTTTGGACCAAGAACCACTTTTGGACCAAGAACCACTTTTGGACCAAGAACCACTTTTGGACCGAGAGCCACTTTTGGATCAAGAGCCACTTTTGGACCAAGAACCACTTTTGGACCAAGAGCCACTTTTGGACCAAGAACCACTTTTGGACCGAGAGCCACTTTTGGATCAAGAGCCACTTCTGGATCAAGAGCCACTTCTGGACCAAGAGCCACTTTTGGACCAAGAACCACTTCTGGATCAAGAGCCACTTTTGGACCAAGAACCACTTTTGGACCAAGAGCCACTTTTGGACCAAGAACCACTTTTGGACCGAGAGCCACTTTTGGATCAAGAGCCACTTTTGGACCAAGAACCACTTTTGGACCAAGAGCCACTTTTGGACCAAGAACCACTTTTGGACCAAGAACCACTTTTGGACCAAGAACCACTTTTGGACCATCCTGTGAAGACGTTTTCTACAGACAAGAAGACCCTATACAAAAGCATTGGGTAATTCTCTTTCTGGGTACACCCCCACCGGGGGTGGGGTGAGATTGCAGCATGTCAGTGCACGTGCTCGTGTGTGTGTCTGTATGTTTGTGTATGTCTGTTTGTGTATGTCTGTGTGTGTGTGCCTTTGTGTGACTGTGTGTTTGTGTATGTTTGTGTGTGTATGTTTGTGTGTGTATGTCTGTGTGTGTGTGTGTGTGTGTGTATGTCTGTGTGTGTGTGTGTATGTTTGTCTGTGTGTGTGTGTGTATGTTTGTCTGTGTGTGTGTGTGTGGGTGTATGTCTGTGTGTATGTCTGTGTGTGTGTGTGTGTGTGTGGGTGTATGTCTGTGTGTATGTCTGTGTGTATGTTTGTCTGTGTGTGTGTGTGTGGGTGTATGTCTGTGTGTATGTCTGTGTGTGTGTGTGTGTGTTACCCAACCACAGCATACACACTTTTAACTATGGACGAAATGTCAAATTAATACTCGTCAGTGGAAGTAACAGCAAAACAAACAAAAAATAACAATAATAATAAAATAAAGAGATTAAAGTCTATAGTCACAACACACAACACACAACACACAGAATGTTACAACTGTTAATTTTGTTTATTATTATTATTATTAGTTTGACAGTTCCTTGTTTCATGGTGTGTGTGTGTGTGTGTGTCTCTGTGTGTGTCTCTGTGTGTGTATGCGTGTGTCTGTGTCTGTGTGTGTGTGTGTGTGAGGCCATGTGTGCTGAGAGATGGTCCATATGGAGGTGTGACCAGTTCAGAGTGAGATTCTCAGTCTCCTCAGTGTCACCCCCCGCCTCCTCCATCACACCACCCCCCCCTCCCCCTTCGTGTTAGCCGTCTCCATGGATACGCTCAAACCAGGAAGCAAAGCGAAATTCTCCATCTCTTAAAAAGGATCCATGGGAAACCATCTATCCGCAGCCATCTGCAAAGTTAGGGAAAATAGTCCATGACAGACCTCTGAAGCTAAGCAGAGCAGGTGCTGGTTAGTGCTGTGATGGGAGACCTGTGAGCGGCTGTGGCTGTGTCCTTAGGCAAGACACTTCACTCACACTGCCTAGAATGTGCAGCTGGAGTCCTGGTTTAGTCCTGCTTTAGACCTACTTTAGTCCAGCCTTAGTCCTGGATTAGACCTGGGTTAGACCTACTTTAGTCCACCTTAGTCCTTGGGTAGTCCTGGTTTAGACCAGTGGGGGTGGGTCCCGGCTCAAAAGTGGCCAAAATGACGTGCGCTGACATGCTGCAATACCACCCCGGGCCTGTGGGGGTGGACCCGGAATAAGAATTAGCTAATGCTACATATAGCTTTAACAGACCTCTGGAAAACGTCTTTACAGGATGGTCCAAAAGTTGGCTCGTGGCCCAAAGCTCCGTTCCACATGTGTGTCAATGCTGAGTGTTCTGGACCAGTCTAGTTTAGTCGCTGTGGACTTTAGAAGTCTCTCGTTCAAATGAATGGAGCTGCACCGGCTGACACATGCACAGAGAAATTTTTTGGCCCATTCGTTAGAACGGCGGAGATAGGCCTGACTCTGTCCGTTAATATATACAGTCTATGGTTTGGACCTACAGTACTTATGGACCTGCTTTAGTCCAGTATTAGTCCTGATTTAGACACTTCCCCCACAGTAGAATGAGTCTGGTGTGTGTGTGAATGGTTGGTGGTGGTGGGAGGGGCCGATGGCACAGACTGGTTGCCTCTCTTCTGTCAGTGTGCCCCAGGGCAGCTGTGGCTACAGTAGTAGTTTATCACCACCGTGTTTGGAGAGAGAGAAGAATGATGTGACTTTGAGAGTCCAGAAAATCACTGTAGAAAACCGATACTTATTATTATTATTATTATACAGTCTTTGTGTTCGCGCAGGTCCGAACAGGAAACTATGGATGTGACGTACGCTGTTGTCAATAAGAAAGTGGCTGCATCCCAAACCCTCTCCAGGTCAGTGACAAACTCTGTTAAAAGCACATATTAAGGAGACTTTGTTCTGTTTCTTCCATGTTTGTGTTTTCCTTCATGTGTTTGAGGATCAGGAGTTAATCAGATTGTTCCTCCTTATTTTTATATTTTGAGAAAGTAAATAATTTTTGTCTCCAGTAACATAATCTTACTGACCGCTGTAGTTAAAGGTAAATGTAATTATTCAGTTATTTTTTACCAACCTCTAGTTTCCGTCGTCTGTTTTTAATCCTGTTCTTTTAACCTCTAGAAATAAAAACATTCCATTTCTGTACATGTTCTTAAAACGGTTGTTCTGACCCCGTTGTCAGGGCAGAGGACTCCACCCATCACTATAGCAACATGCACATCGTGGCCCCTGCTCCGATCTACAGCGTGGTCCGGCCCCGAGCCAAGCCCCACCCCTCGGAAACTCACCTGTACGACTTGGCCACGCCCACCGCCCCGCCCCCTGCCACGCCCACCACCACCAACTATCACATGATCTCAGGTCTCGGTCTGATTCTGATTCTTTTGATTAGAAGCATAAGAAGAGAATGGTTTGTTTATTTAATGTTCAGGACGTGCGTTTTCTCTTTTTTTGTTTTTGAAAACTATATTTAATGATTTTTGACAAAGGTACAAAGTTTATCAACATAGATGCAAACAGAGAACCTGAGATTAAGAAATAAAATAATGCAAATAACCAAAAGCCTGCTAAAACACACACAAACACATACAAAGACACACACACACACACACACTCACACACACACACACACACAGAACACACAGACACACACACACACACGCACACACAGACACACACACGCATGCACGCACACACAGAACACACAGACACACACACGCACGCACACACAGACACACACACACACACAGACACACACACGCACACACGGACACACACACACACACACGCAAGGACACACACACGCACACACGGACACACACACGCACACACAAGGACACACACACGCACACACGGACACACACACACACACACAAGGACACACACACACACACACGGACACACACACACACACACAAGGACACACACACGCACACACAGACACACACGCACACAAGGACACACACACACACACGCACACACAGACACACACGCACACACGGACACACACACACACACACACAAGGACACACACACGCACACACAGACACACACACACAGATACACATAGGTCTTGGTCATGCATCGTTTCAGTCAGTTTTACGGCCCTCCGGTTGCAGCAATTTAGTTTTTTATTCTAAAATGAATAAAATGGATTTAAAGACAGTTTTCTTCCAGACTCTGGGTCAGTGACGGACGCCGACCACGACTACGAAAACTTAAGCTCAAACTCCTGCAGCTCGCCCCCTGGAGGTGGAATTGGTACGAGATCTCTACAAGACCTGCTTTAGACCTGCTTTAGTCCTGCTTTAGTCCTGCGTTAGACCTGCTTTAGTCCTGCTTTAGTCCTGCTTTAGTCCTGCTTTAGTCCTGCTTTAGACCTGCTTTAGTCCTGCTTTAGACCTGCTTTAGTCCTGCTTTAGTCCTGCTTTAGACCTGCTTTAGTCCTGCTTTAGACCTGCTTTAGTCCTGCTTTAGACCTGCTTTAGTCCTGCTTTAGACCTGCTTTAGTCCTGCTTTAGTCCTGCTTTAGACCTGCTTTAGTCCTGCTTTAGTCCTGCTTTAGACCTGCTTTAGTCCTGCTTTAGACCTGCTTTAGTCCTGCTTTAGACCTGCTTTAGTCCTGCTTTAGACCTGCTTTAGTCCTGCTTTAGTCCAGCTTTAGACCTGCTTTAGACCTGCTTTAGTCCTGCTTTAGTCCTGCTTTAGACCTGCTTTAGACCTGCTTTAGTCCTGCTTTAGACCTGCTTTAGTCCTGCTTTAGTCCTGCTTTAGTCCTGCTTTAGACCCGCTTTAGTCCTGCTTTAGACCTGCTTTAGTCCTGCTTTAGACCTGCTTTAGACCTGCTTTAGTCCTGCTTTAGTCCTGCTTTAGTCCTGCTTTAGTCCTGCTTTAGACCTGCTTTAGTCCTGCTTTAGACCTGCTTTAGTCCTGCTTTAGTCCTGCTTTAGTCCTGCTTTACACCTGCTTTAGACCTGCTTTAGTCCTGCTTTAGTCCTGCTTTACACCTGCTTTAGACCTGCTTTAGGCCTGCTTTAGTCCTGCTTTACACCTGCTTTAGACCTGCTTTAGTCCTGCTTTAGTCCTGCTTTAGTCCTGCTTTAGACCTGCTTTAGACCTGCTTTAGACCTGCTTTAGACCTGCTTTAGTCCTGCTTTAGACCTGCTTTACACCTGCTTTAGACCTGCTTTAGACCTGCTTTAGTCCTGTTTTAGACCTGCTTTAGACCTGCTTTAGTCCTGCTTTAGTCCTGCTTTAGACCTGCTTTAGACCTGCTTTAGACCTGCTTTAGTCCTGCTTTAGACCTGCTTTACACCTGCTTTAGACCTGCTTTAGACCTGCTTTAGTCCTGTTTTAGACCTGCTTTAGTCCTGCTTTAGTCCTGCTTTAGTCCTGTTTTAGACATTTTGTTAATTTGTTTTCATCGTTTCCAGGTTTTAACAACCGGGTCCCAAAGCCCAGGGGCCCCCGGGAGCCTCCGGCCGAGTGGAGGAGCCTCGAACGATGACACAAGAAGAAAAAATAATTTAATCCATTTTTGATACGATTGTGAATTTAGACGATAATGTAGATTTAATATATTATAATAAAGTTATAATTTAACATTTAACTTGTTTTTATTCAGGTCCACCTTAAACTGCAGTTATAGTGTTGTCCACAAGGGGGCGGCACTTTCACACATTTAACACATCTGGGTTTAAACCATGGACCTGGCAACTCTGTTTAGGAAGGATTCTGAAATAAAAATAAGATTAGTTAAAGGGCCCTAATCTGTCATCATTAAAGGGCCCTAATCTGTCATCATTAAAGGGCTCTAATCTGTCATCATTAAAGGGCCCTAATCTGTCATCATTAAAGGGCCCTAATCTGTCATCATCAAAGGGCCCTTATCTGTCATCATTAAAGGGCCCTAATCTGTCATCATTAAAGGGCCCTAATCTGTTGTAATTAAAGGGCCCTAATCTGACATCATTAAAGGGCCCTAATCTGACATCATTAAAGGGCCCTAATCTGTCATCATTGAAGGGCCCTAATCTGTCATCATTAAAGGGCCCTAATCTGTCGTCATTAAAGTGCCCTAATCTGTCATCATTAAAGGGCCCTAATCTGTTGTAATTAAAGGGCCTTAATCTGACATCATTAAAGGGCCCTAATCTGACATCATTAAAGGGCCCTAATCTGTCATCATTGAAGGGCCCTAATCTGTCATCATTAAAGGGCCCTAATCTGTCGTCATTAAAGTGTCCTAATCTGTCATAATTAAAAGGCCCTAATCTGTCGTCATTAAAGGGCCCTAATCTGTCATCATTAAAGGGCCCTAATCTGTCTTCATTAAAGGGCCCTAATCCGTCTTCATTAAAGGGCCCTAATCTGTCATCATTAAAGGGCCCTAATCTGGCTTCATTAAAGGGCCCTAATCTGTCATCATTAAAGGGCCCTAATCCGTCTTCATTAAAGGGCCCTAATCTGTCATCATTAAAGGGCCCTAATCTGTTATAATAATAAACTGTTCTTTTCCAATACTTCTTTAACTGATAACAGTAGTTCAGAGATATTTGAATTTCTAAATTACTTTTCCAGCCTCTAAATCTTGTTATTGTTTTCATTTCGATGTCCCGCCCTCCATCGTTTCACCAATCAGAAAGTCTGTGATCCGGGCGCCAGAACTCACCGCGTGGAGCTAATCTCACTGGTAAAGTACCATGTGGCGCAGAACTAAAAAAGGTCTCGTTATGATTCTCAAATCATTAACGACAAAACAAGGAATAAAACCAGGATTTCTATCTTTGTGAAAAAGGTGTTGGTTATAGATTTGTTGTTGACAAAACTCTTGTCTATTCAGCTGTTATGGTCCCAGCTGGATTCGTCTGCATATCTGGCAACCTGAGTCAGGGAGAGAGGGAGAGGCTGCAGTACCACTTTTGGACACATTTTTACAGACTGCTGCTTTAATAGTTTTACTTTTTTACTTTTAAGCCGGAGCACCTGGAGGAAGCCCTGCCTGACTCAGGGAGAAACATGCAAACTCCACACAGTCCTTTAAGTCTGATTTAAAGTCTAATAAGAATCTGATTCACACGTGGAGAGGACTCACTGAGTATGTTTTTGTTGCAGTTTGCTCCTTTTGAACCTGCTTTTAGTTTGATTTAGATCAACAGCTGACAGCATCAATACACAGATGTAGTCCTGCTTTAGTCCTGCTTTAGTCCTGCTTTAGTCCTGCTTTAGTCCTGCTTTAGTCCTGCTGTAGACCTGCTTTAGTCCTGCTTTAGTCCTGCTTTAGTTCTGCTTTTGTCCTGCTTTTGTCCTGCTTTAGTCCTGCTTTAGACCTGCTTTAGTCCTGCTTTAGTCCTGCTGTAGACCTGCTTTAGTCCTGCTGTAGACCTGTGTAGACCTGCTTTAGTCCTGCTTTAGACCTGCTTTAGTCCTGCTTTAGTCCTGCTTTAGACCTGCTTTAGACCTGCTTTAGACCTGTTTTAGACCTGCTTTAGTCCTGCTTTAGACCTGCTTAAGTCCTGCTTAAGTCCTGCTTAAGTCCTGCTTTAGACCTGCTTTAGTCCTGCTTTAGACCTGCTTTAGTCCTGCTTTAGTCCTGCTGTAGACCTGCTTTAGACAGGTCTTATGCCGGATCCAGTTTTGCCTCCGTCATGGTTCAGACCTGGACTGATTCGGGTTCGCTCCTGGTTTTGCATGGCTCTCCTGTTGCTAGGCGACAGAGGATGAAGCCTTTGAAGTCCTGCTGATTTTTTTTTTCCTGATGAATCAGGTCACAGTCTGTGTTTCCACGGCAACAGCAAAGAGGGGCGGGGAAAGGACAGAGGAGACAAGGAGGGAGGAGACAAGGACAAGAGGAGGAGACAGGAGGAGAGAAGAGGAGAGAGGAGGAGAGAAGAGGAGAGAGGAGGAGAGATGAGGAGGAGAGAGGAGAGAGGAGACAGGAGGAGAGAGGAGGAGGAGAGAGGAGACAGGAGGAGAGAAGAGGAGAGAGGAGGAGAGATGAGGAGGAGAGAGGAGGAGAGAGGAGACAGGAGGAGAGAGGAGGAGGAGACAGGAGGAGAGAGGAGGAGGAGGGAGGAGGAGAGAGGAGACAGGAGGAGAGAGGAGGAGTAGACGAGAGGAGAGAGGAGACAGGAGGAGAGAGGAGAGGAGGAGAGAGGAGACAGGAGGAGAGAGGAGACAGGAGGAGAGAGGAGACAGGGGGAGAGGAGGAGAGAGGAGGAGAGAGGAGGAGAGAGGAGGAGGAGACAGGAGGAGAGAGGAAGAGGAGAGAGGAGGAGAGAGGAGACAGGAGGAGAGAGGAGGAGGAGAGAGGAGGAGAGAGGAGACAGGAAAATGTGAGAGGAGGAGGAGACAGAGGGAGAGAGGGGGAGGAGCAGAGAGGAGGAGGAGAGAGGAGGGGGAGAGAGGAGAAGACAGGAGACAAGAGGAAGAGAAAGGAGAAGAGGAGGAGGAGAGGAGCAGAGTCCTGTGGTGGACTAGTGGTGGCCTGAGGTATTGCAGGAGATTAAATTACATTTGTTTTTGTCTTCCTTCCTCTGTTGTGTCCATGAGCAACACACTCAGTCTGATCCACTCAACGCTCAGACCTGGAATCTACCTTTTTGGGGCTTTTGGGTTCAGTCTAAAATGTGGAGAAAAAAAAAAGGGTTACATTCAAAAAAACGTAAAAATAAACAAATGTGTGTTTTGAGTGTCTTAAAAAACTAAAATGATGTTTTCTTCAAGAAGTGAAAGTAAAAGTGTTTTAATATTTCTGTATCTTTTTAAAACAATATTATTTACGTTTGAGAATCATGTTTTAGACACAGTCAGAATGTGCTCAGATTAAGACCCATTTTTACCAAGTTTTTGCCATTTTTTACTTATTTTTCATTATTTTTTGCAGTGTATTCATTTTTCTGCCTGAACTACATTCATTTAATGCACTTTTTTGTTCAAAGTTACGTATCCCAGCTTTAATTTGATCAGACTTTATATTTAGTGACCAAAGCCAGATCCTGTCAGACCTCGGAAGCTAAGCAGGACAGGGCCTGGTTAGTGCTGTGATGGGAGACCTCTGGGTGCCACAGTGGGGCGGCTGTGGCTGTAAAGTGCCAAGCTGTGGTTGTGGTTGTGTCCTTAGGCAAGACACTTCCCCCACATTAGAATGAGTCTGGTGTGTGAGTGTCTATGGGTCTACAGGGTCTGAGTGGGTCTGAGGTCTATGGGTCTACAGTCTGTGGGTCAGCAGTATCTTTGGTCTCTCTCTGGTCTCTCTCTGGTCTCTCTCTGGTCTCTCTCTTGTCTCTCTCTCTGGTCTCTCTCTGGTCTCTCTCTGGTCTCTCTCTGGTCTCTCTGGTCTCTCTCTGGTCTCTCTCTGGCCTCTCTCTGGTCTCTCTCTGGTCTCTCTCTGGTCTCTCTGGTCTCTCTCTGGTCTCTCTGGTCTCTCTCTGGTCTCTCTCTGGTCTCTCTCTGGTCTCTCTCTGGTCTCTCTCTGGTCTCTCTCTTGTCTCTCTCTCTGGTCTCTCTCTGGTCTCTCTCTGGTCTCTCTCTGGTCTCTCTGGTCTCTCTCTGGTCTCTCTCTGGTCTCTCTCTGGTCTCTCTCTGGTCTCTCTCTGGTCTCTCTCTTGTCTCTCTCTCTGGTCTCTCTCTGGTCTCTCTCTGGTCTCTCTCTGGTCTCTCTGGTCTCTCTCTGGTCTCTCTCTGGTCTCTCTCTGGTCTCTCTCTGGTCTCTCTCTGGCCTCTCTCTGGTCTCTCTCTGGTCTCTCTCTGGTCTCTCTGGTCTCTCTCTGGTCTCTCTGGTCTCTCTCTGGTCTCTCTCTGGTCTCTCTCTGGTCTCTCTCTCTGGTCTCTCTCTGGTCTCTCTCTGGTCTCTCTCTGGTCTCTCTCTGGTCTCTCTCTGGTCTCTCTCTCTGGTCTCTCTCTGGTCTCTCTCTGGTCTCTCTCTGGTCTCTCTCTCTGGTCTCTCTCTGGTCTCTCTCTGGTCTCTCTCTGATCCTTAGGCAAGACACTTCCCCCACATTAGAATGAGTCTGGTGTGTGTGTGAATGGTTGGTGGTGGTGGGAGGGGCTGATGGCACAGACTGGTTGCCTCGCTTCTGTCAGTGTGCCCCAGGGCAGCTGTGGCTACAGTATTAGTTTATCACCACCGTGTTTGGAGAGAGAGAAAAATGATGTGAAGAGACTTTGAGAGTGATGATGAAGAATGATTAAAGTGCAGTTGGAGATTCATCCTCTGCATTTGACCCAGATCCTGATGCCACCAAGGCCACGTCAGGAACAGTGGTCGCCGTAGTAACAGGATTTAACCTATTGTGCATATTTTTAGTATACTAAAAATATGCACAATAGGTTAAATCCTGTTACTACGGCGTAAAAACTACTACTCAAAATTGTTCACCTTACTCAGATTTTTGCATTCACTGACAATAAAATTGCCAATTGGAACTGGAACTGTCTGTTGTGAACCTCTTGAACTCACTTTCAGAAGTTTCTGATGAAAAGTTCACCTTATTTGATAAATTAAGTTGATTTTACTTTGAAGTTGTAGTGAACTTCTGAAAGTGAGTTCCAGAGGCTCACAACAGACAGTTCAAGTGGCTCACAACAGACAGTTCCAGAGGCTCACAACAGACAGTTCAAGAGGCTCACAACAGACAGTTCAAGAGGCTCACAACAGACAGTTCCAGAGGCTCACAACAGACAGTTCAAGAGGCTCACAACAGACAGTTCAAGAGGCTCACAACAGACAGTTCCAGAGGCTCACAACAGACAGTTCAAGAGGCTCACAACAGACAGTTCAAGAGGCTCACAACAGACAGTTCCAGAGGCTCACAACAGACAGTTCCAGAGGCTCACAACAGACAGTTCCAGAGGCTCACAACAGACAGTTCAAGAGGCTCACAACAGACAGTT